CACACACACACACACACAGGTGTAGTTTATCGATGCAATCGATGCAAGTAGCGTGAGGGCAGCCCAGGGGTTGGACACTTACCTGCTCGTATCTCATCCAATCTCTCTCTCTCTCTCTCTCTCTCTCTCTCTCTCTCTCTCTCTCTCTCACACACACACACACACACACACACACACGTGTAGTAGGTATATTTCCATGTCCTGGTGGAAGATTCATTCAATTTTGCTCATCTATCGATGCAAGCACCGTGAGGCCAGCCCAGGGGATTGAGACTTACCTGTTCAGCGATGTGTATCTCATCCAATCTCTCTCTCTCTCTCTCTCTCTCTCTCTCTCTCTCTCTCTCTCTGTGTCACACACACACACACACAGATGCAAGCACCGTGAGGCCAGCCCAGGCGCCCGGGGTCGTCCCTTTTCGCCGCGGCCACTTCCCAGCACCGGCGCGCCTTGCCCACTGCCCGAGAGCGGTCCCGCGGCAGCCTTGCACCCGACCGGCCCGCCACGCTACCGGCCCACTCCGACGGGACCCAAACGTCACGACCTCCTTGGTCCCCTGCGGCACCGCGCGCGGACCTCCCTGCCCGAATTTCGCTGAGCCCTGCGGGAGCGTCACGCACTGACCGCTTTTTCCTTTAGGGTATAAAAATAAAATAGCTTGTTCCTTTAGGGTATAAAAATAAAATATAAAAAAAGAGATGATGAAGCACAACAAAAGATGACGGAGAGACCGCCATAGCAAAAAAAAAAAAAAAAAAAAAAAAAAAAAACCATTGCCGGGGCGTATCCGTGATCAGGCAGACGGACGGCCTAGGTGCAGGGTTCCCATTGCACTCTGGGACTCGCCTGGCCTAAGTCACTCCCACGGCGGTGTTACTACGGCATTATTTCGCGTAGGGGGCGTGCCCGCCCACCAAAAAAAAAAAAACAGAGGACACCGCCATAGCCAGTGAAGTACAACTGGACTGGCCATTAATACTTTCGGCCGGCTCGGTCAGTGAAGTACCAGACACGGCTGCAAAGTCAAAGCCAGAAATTGACAAAATAGGAAAGTACCAGACACGGCTGCAAAGTCAAAGCCAGAAATTGACAAAACAGGGAAGTACGTAATCGAAATGATTGATACAGAATTCTGTTCCTTCGATGCCTTATCTAATATATTTTTCTTGCAAAATGCTCCAATGTTTTTTTGTTTTGTTTTTTTCGAGGAAGAGTTCCGAAATAAATTGCAGAATGCTCCAATATGAACCCTAAACCAAATGTTTTTACCACCCGCCAGCACAAGGACTTCGCCGGGATGTATCTGGCCTCAATTACAGACAAAATTCGGTCAACCCTGTGCCAGAGGTCAGCAGACCAAATGCTACCTATGTTGCCCTCACTTGCAGAGCGCAGATCATACACTAGGGAACGACGATCAGAAAATA